GACAACTTCACCCGAAAACTTCCCTCGCGACGTCGCCAATATCAGCAAGGTGACGCCTCAACCACATACAGGCTATCACTGAGACTGCCATCACAAGCAGCCCATTTCAAACTTCAAACCTGCCCGGCATCTATCTGTGAGGTGAGTTTTCCTGATCCTTACCTACCTTAAGAACCATAACCCGCCACTGCCCCCCTCCCCTCTGCTTCAGTTGACCTTCCTCACCCCTCACCCCCCTCACCGCAGACTTCATACCTCTAGACCTCATATTAACACTTGCTCAACGAATTCCCAGACAAGAAACTCACCTCAGAATCAAATCATGCCCGCCCAACCTTCCACTTCTCAACCCCCTCCCCCTCCCCCTCCCCCTCCTTCGATCACGATCGTGATCACATCACCACCTCATCGAACGACCACAACCACGACCGCGACCGCGACCGAGACCATCCAGAGCACGGCCACGACCAGGACCACGATCACCACCACCATCACGACGATCACCACCAGAACCAGCGTCACGACCACGACGATCACTGCCGAGGAGATTGACAGGTCTACAGCCACGATGGTGGACGTGACCTTTGACACGACCATTGACATGGATATCTGGGAAATCGAGTAGGCCTGGCCTGCGCAGTGTCCAGTACCCCCGCAACGCACTTGCGGCGTTGCCTTGTGGACATAATGCCTAGAGAAGCAAGCTGGATGGGTTCATGGATGGTTGGAGAGAGCCGGCGTCGGTGTGGCAAGGCCTTGCTGCTTGTCCATGTCGTGTTCTCGTCGTTGTATGTATTCCTTTGTCATATTGTCCTTGGCTAGGCAACACTAACAGCTTCGCAGTCTCCATCCAGCTGTATTGGACATCGTGGACACTCTGACTCGCTCGTGGTATTGAGCCTCATCGACATACATGGAGGTACTGGTACAAGGGTGACATGGGAAGACAAGACAAGGCAAGGCAAGCGGGCATGAAAGGAAGGAAGAAAGGCACTCACATCGTAGTCTAGAAGCTCTGAAATGAATGACGCTGCTTCCCTCCCTCCCAACACTTTTTCATACCTATGCTTTTACACTCTGAAGCCTCTCTCGAGCACGATTCTACCGGCAGGGCTTCATTAACCATTTCCTTGTTAGCGTAGGGGGGCGGATGTCACAGATGCTTCTCCGAAGACTTCGCCTCCTTGAGAAAACAAAACATAATCGGGTATATTGTCATCAATCATCGCTCGTAGTCACCATCCCCCTTCATGTCTAGATTCCCCCCTCCTCTCCTCTCCCTCTCCCCTCTTCAAAACTCCCCCTTTCGAGGCCCCCCCCCCCCCCCCCCCCCCCCCAATCCTCAACGACCCATCACTAACTCCCTCACTTCTCAGCAGGCTTAACACTCTGCGGATTCCAAAAAACCTCCTTCGGATCCCACCGCTTCTTAACCCTCCTCAACTCCTCATAATTACTCCCCCAATACTGCTCCTGCGCATCCTTTAGCTCCGGATCGACATACCCCGCATACGTCCCGAACGCGCGCGTCGACTTGGTAATCTGGTTATGGAAATTCTCCAAGAAGGCCTTCGTCTTCTCGCTGAGCGGTAAACCGATGCCGTAGCTCTGGTAGAACATGACCTTGTCTCTGTGCGAATAAGCGGTGGCGTTCATGGGCACGTCAGCGATGGCGCCGCCGGTGGCGTCGAAGATGATGAACCAGAGCGGGGTGCCCTTGTCTTGGGTGTCGGTCCATTTGAAGATGTCGGCGATGCCGGTGGTGTTGATCAGCTCTTCGCGGCGGAAGGCGAGGGACTTGGCGTAGAACGGGGTGGCGAGGCCGGATAGGTAGAGCGCTTCGTTTTCGCCGTCGCGAGCGAGGGCCGTGAGCCAGTCGTTGTTTCCTACCGAGTCCTTCTTGCCGGGGAGGCGGTCGGGGATACCGCTGGCGCGGTACTCGGCTTCGGTGCCGTAGAAGGTGCCGGTGATGATGGCGCCGGTGGGGTTGAGGATGAATTCGGAGCCGAAGCGACGGTCGAGTTTGGGATCGGAGATTAGGTCTTGCCAGGCTGAGTAGGTCGAGGCAACATCGGCGGATTTGCCGAAGATGAAGGTGTAGCTGTACTGGACTACGTTGGCGGGCTCGGGGTGGGTGCGGACGACGAACTCGGTGATGACGCCGAGACTGGAGGCGGCGCCTCGAAGGCCCTGTCCTTTGTTAGTGAGTAGTCGCGGAAGAAGGAGGGGGCAGGCATACCCAGAACAGGTCAGAGTTTTGAGTCTCGCTGGCCCTCTGGATCTTGCCATCAGCAGTTACCACTTCCACCTCCACTATGTGATCCAAGGCGCTTCCCCACATGCGCGACATTGGGCCAAGACCACCCTAGGAAGATGTCAGCAACCTGGTCTATCATGGATCTCCAGTGCCGAGGACCTACAATAGTAGCATGCCCACCAATGCCAACATCCGGACATACGCCATAAGCCATCGCTCGGCCGCCCGCATCATGTAACCTATCCGTGACATGTCCAAGACGGCTGCCGGCACCTATGGTGGCTTGCCATGTCTTGTTGTCCATGGAGAACTGCTGGAAGTTTTGAAGGTCGATGGTAATAACTCCATCCTGACCTCCTCCAAGGCCTACGTTCATCTCAGTTAGCGTCCAGGAATTCTCGCCCGTAGTGTTGTATCCCAGCGAGTGACCTACCATAATTCCTGCGTCCCTCGTTAGCAACTATCCACTACATAGAAGAACACAAGCGAACTCACCCGAACGAATGCCCTCCCGACTTAGCCTGCACCTTGTACCCGTTCTTGGTAGCACACTTCACTACCTCGGCCACATCGTTGCTATCCTTGGGCCTCACAACGGCCTCGGGGACCACTTTGATATCGAGATTGTACGGTTTGACCCATGATAGTTGGTAAAGAGGTGTGCTGGGATATGCTGCGAAGTGGGAGCGGCCGTTGGCAATGCCATCGATGCACGTTTGGAGTGCGCTGTGACCTTGTCCCATTGTGGCCTTTGTTCCTGGATGATGAGTTGCGTCCGGGATAAGTTGACCGAATACAGGGTCAAGTATGGAGAAGAAAGGAAGGAAGGAAAGAAAGAATACGTGGAGAGGATTAGAGCAGAGGAGGCTTAAGTGTTTCAAGACTGGAGCAAACAATACGGGATACGAGTGCCGAGTTGGTCGATAGGTATGCGTGATAAACAGTGAGGATGGAGGTGGGGCGTACAAGGACATGGGAGGTATCATCCCAAGCTAAAAGCGAAGCTGAAGCCATCGATCCGTCATACTGCAAAAAAATCCGAGTGGAAGGAGACGATCAAACAAGGCGCAGTGCATTGACGTTAGTACCTAATAGTAGCCACATAAAGGTCAGGCCTGTCAGGGCAAAGGCAAAAATGACTGGCGGAAAGCGCCTTTGGTTGGCTTTGAACGAGTCAACGACTGGGAAAGGGTAGGTAGGCTTTTTTCCACTTGGAGAAGCCACATTGGACGGGAAGCCTGACCGGCTCACCGGGTGGCATGACGGAATCGTTTTGATCGACGAAACAGATCTTGTCAGGGCAGCCACCTTGGGCGCCTTGGCTCGATGTGTGGATGACCGAGGAAGACCTTGTAACGCTTTGTTAGATCCGAGTTTGCGGGATGTGAGTCGTCGACTCGTCAGATGGGGTCATGGAAGGGTGGATGTGACATACATGATGAGGCTCGGCGGTGGTACAGTACCAGAGTTGATAACCAGGTCCAGATATTTGGCAGAATATCACGCCAAGTTCTGCCGGGACGTGAAGTTGGAAAGACGAAACAAATAATATCTAAAGCCAAAATGAGAAGTGCATATCACGGTTGACAAACGTCCAGCCTCCCCCCAAAGAGAGTCGGCCAAGTGGTGAAGCCCGAACAGAAAGAAGAGTGGCTGCCTCTCGCATTTGCTACGTCAAAGCACAGGAAGGGCATGGCAGGGCAGGAAAAAAACAGGATGATGTTGGGAGACGAGTGTTTTGTGCCCAATGAGTCATCACAAAGGAAAGGAAGTCCAGGGGCACAAGAAGCAAACCTGCTGACAACGTTTCGTCCGGTTACCGCATGGATGATCACCAGATTTTGTTGGTGTTGGTGTTTCCATTGCCGCCCCCGGGTACAACCTCGGCATCCGTATTCGAGACGATGCCCAAAACGAGAGGACAGTGACACTGCGCGGCGGTTACCAAGCAGCTGGCTGTGCAGAGTCATGGCATGATGCCCAAGACTTTGGTATCCAATCGCCTTTCTTCAGCTGCGGTTTGTGCATCGAAGGTTGGAAGTTTTCTTTTGGTCACCGGCGACCAATGGCCAACGAGAAGAAGGGATGACGTTGAGAGAAGAAACAAGACGAGTTCGCGAAAAAACGAGGAGGGGTTCGTGACGGGGCATGCGGTGATTGGTTAATAATTTTGCAGGATCCTGGTAATATCATGCTGGCTTAATTGGTGTTGTACTAACACTTTATTTAGTTGTGATCGCCACAGAGCGTTAACAGGGTAACATCTGCAACCGGAGGGAAGAGGCGCTAAATTTGATATTAGCCTATCTTCTTAAGGGCAAAAGAACAGGGGAATCTGTTAAGGTCGTATCTCTGCAACCTCCGTCCAAGAATAACGGAAGATCAAGTTTGTTCCCACGTTCACCATCTGTGAATACAATCCTCATTGAAATATGGGTGACGCAACGATCTGCAAATGCGAATGGAGAGAGAAATTTAAAGGAAAATGGGAAGGGGACAAGTGCAATTGCGTATCCGACATGGCTCACACGATAAGCGTTAACAATCTATCAACCTCTCGGCAAAGTTTGCGGCATTCATGTTTACGACATATCTCAATCAGCTGCCCATCAAGGTTCTCATCCATGTTCCAAATATCATCACGAAGAAAGAAGTCACATCTCCCATCATCCATCATAGGTAATGAGTTAACGACAGAAGTTATTTAACAAGAACAAACTCCCAGATCATATCCAAAGCCAAAAAAAAGGAAAAAAACGAGCTATATCCAAATTTTTCTTCACCACCTCCAAGCCCCCGGTACAATCTCATCCACCACACCGTCCACACCAACTCCCACACCCACACCCAATTGCACCACTCCCTTTTCAGATGGTGTCGTCGGCACCATCAAAGCCTCAATCGTCGAACTCGCATTCGACACCGCCTTGATGCGCACTCTCCTCCTTTTTACCCCTTCTTCAACTTCCTCCTCTGTTTGCCTGTGAATGCCTAAAGCCTCCAGCCGCTCCTCACAATCTGAGCTCTCGGCACTGCTTCCCCTGAAACTTAGGGAAGGTTCGGATCCCCAACTTGCACTTGGTGTTCCGGTGACACTTCCACTTCCACTCTCATGACCCCTTGAGCCCAAACGACTAGAGGTACGACTGGAGGTAGATGTACTCTTGGTCTCATGATTCTCATCCTCGCCTGCCTCTCCGTTACCCACCACGCTTTTTTCTTCCTGTCGAGGGCCTTGGGGTTGAGGACCTTGACCTTGATCTTGACCTTGAGTTCCAGCTTGCCCCCCACCGCCCCCCTCGCCATTGCCAACGGAGACAACAGTACCTCTAACGTCGACATTAACGACCGGAGCGACAGAAACTCCAGCCACTCCAGTCACTCCAGACCGTCCAAAAACCCCAGGACCACCAGCCCCAACCCCCTCCACAGCCGACTGCCAAGGAATCTCCTCCTCCTTCTGCCTCACTTTCCCCTCCACCATCCACCCCTCCGTCCTTTCCCTCTCCTCCCTACTCTCGCTCCGCTCCATCTCCTCGCCCTCTACCGCCTCATCATACATCTCCCTCATCTTCTTCAGTTTCCCCTCGTCCCTCGGATGCGCATCAAAGGGAAAGCGACAGGGTTTAGCAATCAAAAGGGGCGTGTAATCGTTCCAGTGCACCGGTAATTCGCTTCCAGTCAGCGGGTCGGTCTTTTTGGTGATGGTGAAGGCCCACGCCATACCGCCCATGGTTAAGAAGAGATCCTGCTCGACGATGGGCACGCCTTGGCAGGTGCGTCGGCCGAAGCCGAATTGGGAGAAGCCGGAGAGGTTGGGGTAGAGGGTGAGGGGTTCGCGGTAGGTGGATGGGTAGGAGGGGAGGAGGAAGCGGGAGGGGTTGAAGGTTTCTGCGGAGGGGTAGGTGCTTTCGTCGCGGGTTATGGCCCTGTGTTGGTGTTGGGGGTTAGTATGGTATTATGGTGAGGAGAGGGTAATGGCGAAGATAAGGGAAAGGAAGGAGGGGGGAGGGGGGTTGAAAGTTGGAAGGGTGAGGACGGGAGTCGGGAGGAAAGACTTACCACTCAAGAGCGTGGATGGTAGCTCCGGCGGGGATGAAATACCCATCATAGACATCATCTTTCTCAATGGCATGCGGAATCCCTAAGGTAGTTATCATCACGGTCAGTATCTTCCCTCTTCTCAGTATCAACAAAACAAGACGGAGACAGAAAATAACATACCAGTAGGCACCGGCGGCCTCCACCTAATAACCTCCTTAACCACCGCCCTCAACAACGGCAATTTCTCCCGATCCTCCCACATCGGACACCTCCCCGCCAACTTGGTATCAATCTCCTCCTGCAACCTGGCCTGCCACTCCGGATAATGGCACATGGCCAATATATAACTCTGAATCGGGCTTCCAATCGTCAGAGCACCAGCAATAGCCATCAAGCCAACCACATGCATCGCCTCATCCACATCCGCCTCCTTGGCTTTTTCCTCGTCAGTGTCACTTGCGCTGGATTTCTTAGAAGAACTGACGCCGCCTCCTTGCTGCTCCTCGAGAAAAGTGCGGATGAAAGAAGGCTCGGCGCGGCCGACGTCCATCATCCTTCTGACAAAACCAATGTTGGAGCGGAACTGTTTGTCTTCCAAGTCATGGCGGGCCTTCTCCTTTTTCTGCCAGGGAGAGAGGGCGAGGGGGAGATGCCGCAAAAAGGAGATGACGTTGGGCAGGGCGCCCGAGGGGGAGATGGTTTCGAGCAGACCAAAAGTGGTGTGCCGCAGGATTTGGGCCGGGTGGGCACTGCCCCATGATAAACGGGAGATGGTGCGCGAGGTGAATTGCTCGATGTACTCGATGTAGTCCTCGGGGGATTGGGACAGCAAGTACAGGAAGCGGTTGCGCTCGAGGGTGGGGTAGTCGTGAAGGGAGGCGAGGGCCGAGGTGTGCATTAGGTGGTTGCAGAGTTTGCGTTGGCGTTTCCAGGTGTCTGGTTGAACTTGTTAGTACCTCTCTCTACAGGTACCTTTGTGAATTATCCATTAAGTGGTGAGGAGCAAAGTAAGAGAGAGGGGCTTACCATTCCGCCCAAGAAGAGCCAGGTAATCACCGCTTGTCCGGTTATCAGGCAAGTTGGGAATCTGTGGCCGGTCAGAGTAGATGTTTGCTCGTCGGGACAGGAGGTCGTGAGCAATTTTCTCTGAGGAGATCCAGACGTGGGTGACGCCGAACATCTTGGTCTGGTAGACCGGACCATAGACCTTGCTCCACTCGTAGAACTTCAACCATGACCCCTTTTCTGGTACATCGTGGACACGACCTATTAAGGGGAGATCTGAGGTGAAGGTTCATTTCAGTTAGCCAAGTTCTTGTCATGTACATCTTTCTGTAAATGAAGAGAAAAGTCTTGATGAATCAAGTCATGGTATGCATGTTTCTCATGAAGAAAACTGAAAAGTCATATCAACTCACTAGTAGGGCCAGGCAACGGCCGGCTGCCAGCTGGTAACCTCTTCCTCTCCAGCAATCTCTGTATCACCAACAAGACCACCAACACGGTCAGGAGGGTTATTGGGAGAACACACATCATGTTGTGTGTCTGTGTCTCTGTTCCTCCTCTCTCTCGGAGGAGCCGTTCGCGGCCGGCGGCTGTGGGAAAAGACACACCAAACTGGACGGGAAACCAGGAAGCAGAGTTCCGACCCCCGAAATGCCCGGTTCTCAGCAAGAAGAGAGCAAGAGAAGGGGAGATTCAAGAACAGTAAGACGCAAAGTCTGTCCGAACTCAGTCTTGCTCAGATCCGTTCTCTGTTGAGTAGAGATACTGAGAGCTGGTTCCCGGAAGTATGATGACAGTGCGTCTGCGTCTGCCAAGTATTGTGGTTCAGTACGATGACTAAGCGTCGGGAGGTTGTATATAAGGACTGGAGTGAAAAACAAAAGGGTGTGCAAAAGACTGTCTGCGCTGAAGAGGGGACGGGCAGTCAGCGGCTGGTAAATGGTCGGTTTGTATGTCAAAAAGTCTGGAGGTAAGCTCTTCGAGATGAGCAGGGGAATGGTATGGTCATAGTTATGTGAGATCTAATCTTACAACAAAACTTTCGGAACACATCCTCTACGTCGATCCGTCTTCCGTTGAGTGATGGGGTTATATCTTGGAAGGTCCGGTACAGATAAGGCTTTCCGGACCTTGGCCATTACCCCTGGTACGATCTTGGGCTTAGTGAGGCTGACCTGACTTTCCCTGCCAGCAACAGATAGGGACTTCGCTGTAACCCTCTCATTGTGACTAACACATGGGAACGATCTGAATCGACAATGTGGCTCTAATGCTCACTTGCTACAATCACGTTGGGGAAGACCCGTAATGATTGAAGAACGACATCATCGTTTTGTCACGGAAGGCAGAGATCTGTAAGGGGATAGAGGTGTAGTGGCTCTGTCGAACCTTCTCCTTCAAATTGTTGCAAGCCTGCTTCCACCATTAGTCAAGACAGGTTACCAGAAACCTGGAGGGACATGGCTGGCGGCTCTAGCGTGTATGTAGATGTTGATGTTGATGGAGTACCATTGTCATTTGATGCAGGCCAGCTGCCTGGCCATGTACTCCAGTGTTCGAAGGGTGCCACTTGAGGCTGCGAGCCGTCATCCGTCTGCGACTCGATTAAGAGACTAGCATTAGGTTATCTTTGGCTGGCCCACCAGACCTCCAATGGTGGGCGGCAGGATACTTGGATGTTGTATAAAGTCGCCACGGTCAATGGCCTGACCCTTGCTGAGCCTCAGTCCAGATGGTGCCACTATAGACATGTTAGTGTAAGTCCCATGGTCGAGAGAAGAATAAAAGAGGCCAAGGCCGCCTTCCCGTCGGAGGATCAGAAATGGTGGTCACCCCCGGAGATGATGGACGATGTTCGGGACCGCATGAAGCAACGTGGCTCCGACGTATGTTGCTGTAAGTTCGAAAGTGCTCGAAGCCGGAGATGTTGAAATTTGGGACGATGATGTGATGGTATGTAAGTTACCCAGTGACTGCTTTAGGTCATGCGTTCAGAATCGTGGATCAGATGGGTATCGTCGTGAGGCCAGCGCTCTCGAATTTCCGCCGTTGTCAAGTCAATATTGATCGACTTCAAGGATAACTTTCAGCACGTTGTCCGGTCACAAATTTGGGTACGATTGACGACTTGTAGTGTATGGCGGTCGTCGTCTTCGCTGATGCCGTGGGGATGTCCGCCTGGAGTCGAATATCTGGTTGAATGTTCGTGGAAGTGTCGTTCCCCTGTGAACATGCTCTCACTATGTTACATCAAGCTGCTTTGATTTTTAGACCAGGAAGTAGGAGACTTTGGAGAGCGATATACAAAACCTAGTCTTCTCTGCGCCGGTAGCACAACGTTGGACTTCTCATTGGCCCCCTAGGTCAGTAGCCTCGATGGGAGTGTAGTGTTAGGATGTTCTCTGCATCGAATCGAACGAGAACTGAAGTGACAGGCGTAAGAGATGGCATCGCAGAACCCCAGATCCGAGAGATAAGATCAGGGGTGCTTTCCCGGCGCTAAGGCTAGGGCAAGAAGGGAAATGCACTGTAAGTGCGAGCTGCCACGTTTTTTTGCTTTTTGCAAGTGTCAATACTGCGACCCTTTTCGCGTTAGCATGATCACAAGCAAATGGATGGGCCCGAGTATCAAGGATAAAATCGATGGCTTCAAAGCAGAATCGTTCTCTGTTCCAAAGAAGAAAGAAAGTTGGTAGCCCTCGGACTCTCTGGCCAACCGTTTAACGCCGTGGAACATCCAGACCAAGGTGAAACCAATATCACTTCCGAAATAAGAAACGATAAGGAAGAAGAACACGGGAAAGGAATATAGAAGACGGATACTGTCAGCGGCTGTCAATGTTGGTCCTCGGATCCGTGGCCCTCGGGGGTGAGTACGGTGCCGTCGAGAGGTGTCATTGCCGAAGCATGCGTGCGGCTCCACTTAGCCCGCGACCCTCCGTATGCCGGCCGGTCTTTCGGTCCCGGAGCGGGTGGCTGACACTGGCTTGACTGATGTCCCGTTGAGCATGGAACCATGGTTAAGATTTGGGCTGATAAGACGGGAGCTGACTCCCGGCAGGAAATGGAGATTGTGATGGCCTGATGAATCCAATATTTGATGGTGACCCGGCAGAAAATGGACATTGTGATGGCCCGATGAATCCGATATCCGATGGTGATCATTCAACTCGGTCCCGGTGTCTCCCATCGACGTTTGGCGGATCTGTTCGTCAATGTCAGCATTATCAACACGATACAGCGCATCACAACACCAGAAAAACATGGACCAGCTTGCTTGAACTTTTTTTTTATTCATCCAGACCGCCGTGCTTCAAGATTTGAGTCCTCCTCCTCCCAACGCCTTTTCCTTTCTTCTTTCTTGCTTTCGCTTTGACATCCGCATCGTCATCAAGCATGATGTTGGTCACGCTGCGAGGGTCCGACCGCAATGCTGCTTCCGCTTGCTTCTGCATCTGCTTTTGCGTATGTTGCAAGCGCGGAAGCGATGCAAGGTGAGCTGATCTCAGCTAAGCTGCATTTTCCACTCCACCGAACACTGTATGCATCCACAGTTGTCAAGACACTGATTTCGTGAGTGCGATGCCATGTTGGTTGGGGGATATGATTTGTCGGTCGGGCAACTCGTCGTCCTCTTTCTCTCGTTGATTTGAACAGATCCGTTGCTTCTCAGATTGGGTATATAAGTTCGAAATATCGACGTTCGGCTACTCGCTGTGAAGATGAGTGATCATCGCATACATTTACATACTAGTTCGCCCGAGTCAGCTTATCAGTCTTCCAATCCATGCAACCATCAGTCAGGGGCAACAGGAGAAACATACCGCTCGACAGGGCTCAAGCCAATGAGGCGCATGCCGTTAGCCAAGACAGTCTGCACAGCAGTGTACAGGGCCAGACGGGCCTTCATCAACTCAGGCTCGCTACCGACGACCTGGAGCTGGTCGTAGCTGCTGCTGAGCGCGTGCGTCAACTTGAACAGGTAAGTAAGGACAGTGGTGGGCTCGAGGGTCTTGAGTGTGTTCTTGACCACATCGGGCCACCCGGCCATGTGGCGGCACAGGTTGATGGCGCTGGTCTCGGTAAGGAGAGACAGGTCAGCGGTGGCGAGCTCCTCGTCGGACACGCCAGCCTTGCGCCTGATGGAGTTGAGGCGGGCGTGGGCGTACTGCAGGTACGGGCCGGTGTCACCCTCGAACGAGGTCATGGTCTCCATGTTGAAGGTGTAGTTGTTGATTCTGCAAGGGATCACGTTAGCTTGATTCTGGCACTCCATAAGATAACTGGGAACCCCCATCTTACCTCTTGCCAGACATATCCTGGACCATGACGGACGAGATACCGAGAACATCGGCGGTGGCCAAGGGGTCCTCAATCTGGGAGTACTTGTTCTCGTTCTTCTTCATGACCTCGTGCATCTTGTCGGCAACGTCACGGAGAATGTCGTCGAGGAACTTGACGGTACCCTTGCGGGTGGACATACCAAGGACGAGACCGAAGTTGATGTGCTGGCACTTGTCGGCAATGTCCTTGTAGCCGAGGAGCTCGATGATCTTGAAGAGCTGCCTCAAGTGGAGGTCCTGAGCAGAAGCAACGACGTAGATCATCTTGTCGAAGTGGTACTTCTCGTGGCGGCCGAGGAGCTCGGAGATATCACGGGTGAGGTAGAGGGCAGTGCCGTCCCTCTTCCTGACGAGAGGCTTCTCGAGACGCTTGCCCTCCTTGCCGGGAACGAGCTCGGAGAAGTCGATGAGCTGAGCGCCCTTGTCCTCCTTGCAGATCTTCTTCTCCTCCATGAGATTGCCGACCTGGTTCATGGCATCCTCGGTGACCTGGGATTCACCGGAGTACTCGTCGAAGTGGATGTTGAGGCGGGCATAGGTGTCCTTGTAGCGAACAATGGAGAGGTCACGGAAGCGCTTCCACATGGCGAGGGCATCGGCGTCGCGGTCGGTCATCTTTTTGAAGTAGCGACGAGCCTGCTCGTCCAAGCTGTTGGCCTCGAGGGCAGAGACATCCTCGCCGGCCTCCTTGCGCTTGGTGAAGTCCTCCTTCTCGGCGGTCATCTCGGTGTTGATGCGAACATAGAGCTGGAAGAGGTGGTTGATGGGGTCCTTCTGGAGGGCCTCCTCGTCTCCATACTTCTCGTAGGCAAGGGCCAAGAGACCGTACTGCTTACCCCAGTCGCCGAGGTAGTTGATGCGGACGACATCCCAGCCAGCGCCGGCGTAGAGGTTGGAGAGGAAACCACCGATGATGGTGGAACGGAGATGGCCGGCGTGGAAAGGCTTGGCAATGTTGGGGGAGGAGAACTCGACGATGATGCGCTTCTGGCCCTTGCTGGGGTCCTTGGGGTCCTTGAGACCGTCGGCCTTGTTGAAACCGTACTCGGCGCCCTTGTTGTGGACCAAAGGAATGACGGCGTTGACGAGGGGAGAGGCCTTGACGAAGAAGCTGAGGTGGACCTGGCTAACGGTGGGCTTGGTAAAGAGGGGATCGGTGTCGGGGAACTGGAGTAGAGCGAGAGCGTTAGCTACTGTGGCTAAGCGCATACTTTTTAAAACAGATGTCGCATCGCATCGCATGTCTGGTTGATGGATGTACGTACCTTGGCAGCCCACTCCTGGGCGAGCTCGTCAGGCTTCTTGCCCTTAACCCTGAGCGCGGGGACGGGCAGGGCCATGTCGCCCTTCTCAAGACCCGAAGTCCATCCAAGGTTGGGGTAGATGATGGCAGTGTCGACGCCGGTGACCTCGGACAGGACGTTGGAGAGGTGGGCGCGGTAGAGGTCCATGAGGTTCATGTCGGGGTAGGTGTCGGGGAACTTGGCCTTGACGGCATCGAGGCTGAGGCCATCGACCTGCTTGACCAACTGGTCAATGGGAGCGGCAGTGGTCATTGTGCTGTACGTGCGGCGTGCTGCGCGACCTGTGCTGAAGCGAGATGTTGAAAGGCTGCTGCTGGCGATGGTGGTGTAAGAGGAAGCGATTTTGGTGGAGGAGGAGGGGCAATTCTTGGAGTACAAGTGGGGGCGGCCCGAGTAAACAATGGTCGTCCTAGCAAGAAGAGGAGACCGAAGAACAGACTTGAGAGAATTGGGAGCACGTAAAACACCGCGCGAAAAGAGTGCTTGACAAGCCGTCATGAGCAGTGATTATCCTTTTAAATAATGTATTATCCCGATCCAATTGGGCACATGAGTCGTCCTTCAAGGCTGTAACCTTTGGCGTTTTAGTGACTCAAAATTTCTTTGCAGTTTGCGCGCATCGCCCCGGATGCGCCCAGTCAAATTCTCAGTTCAAGTTGTGCACGGTCTGACCTAGCAGAATAGGGAAGCCACAGCCAATGAGGAGGCATTAACAGGAAGAGAGGACCGTGCAGGACTAGGCGGCTAGGGTCCGGCCTAGGCAGTTCTCTCCACGCGGGTAGGACGCAACGCTACCATCCCGCTGCGGGGCAGTGACAGCTTCAGCCCTTCCTCCAGGGGTTGATGCTTGACCATCGAGGTTCTCAGTCATCAGTTCTGGCCGCCCCTCTTATCCGAGGGCATCCGTCTTGTCGACCATGAGTATCTTGCAAGACCGGTCGCGTCCCCAGAGTCAAGTCTGGCCGATGAGTCAGTCACGGCGTCGGGCCTTCAGGGGGAGTTCGCTGACTCTGGATGACCATTTGCTCCTCGTCCGAACGATCCCTTTTCCTTATCGTGTTATTGTGTAGGCATCGATCGACCTTATCAACCGCGATGGTAATCACGTTGGAAGACTCGTCATGACCTCAATACGGGACAACATCAGCTTGACGTTCCAATGGTCCCGAGGGTCACGCTTTACTAACTTTACTCGACCATCCAGGTTCTTAAACAACTGTTTGGCTTCATGTCCTTCGCTTCCAGTCTCATCATCAAGAAGAGCCGTCAACCAACGCCTCTAGTAATCATACACATTTATTCTACCCAAATTCCACAAGTCCTGAACATCAAAACGAATACTCCTCCACAAAAAGCCCAATCCCCTGCGCCCCCGTCCCCTTATGCACCGCCCTCTCATCCGCCAAACTCGCCACACAATTCCTCACCTTCGCAACCAACGAAGGCCCTCCACAAACCACCACCTTGGTCTCTCCTCCCGTGGCCTCTACCGGCGCCCTAATGAACGCCGCAATATCCGGCCTTGTGGTCGAGTGATGCACGTGCGAATCCGTACTAGCCTCACTAAGTGGTCGGCGGGGTGTGAGGCTGAGGGCTTTATCTTCTACGTCGCGGCGGCCGCCGCCGGTGGTACTTGATCTCTTCTCCCGGTCTCCGCCTAGGTTGCTACCCCAAGAAGATGACCTCGACGAGGACCTCCCTTCTGTCCTTTCGTTTGTTGGGAGGATGGAAGTACTGCCGCTCCGGGTGATGGCGACGTGCACGAGGAGCTCGATGCCGACTTCCTTGGCGCCATCGAGAAACTCGTGGAGACGCTTGACGTAAAAGTCGATTTCCTCGCCTTGCTTGGTGGTGAGGAGGAAGTCGATTCGCTTGATGCAGTTGGTGTTGGCGTTTGCGAGGAGGTCCTCGAGAATAGCCAAAGTGAATGAAGCGCCGGTGGAGGCGGAGATGAGGATGACTGTTTCGTAGATGTCGAGACGGGGCGGCATGCCGTAGGGCCCGGAGACGAAGACGGTGTAGTTTCCTTTTCTGCCTTCGGCGTGATCCTTGACGGCGCGCTCGTGTAGTCGTTTGGAGAAGCCGCCGTGTTTCCGAACGACGAGTTGGATGCTGTTGCAGATACATGTCTCCGGGAGCTGGTGCGCGCAAGCGATGGTGTATGGATGCGCTTCCATGGGTCCGATGGCGGGCATCCAAAGGTAAAGATGTTGTCCAGCCTTCCACTTGAAATGGACATCCTTGATGTTGATGACCGTGATCGAGTCACCAACGGCCCGGATCTGGGCAAAGTGACCGATCCTCTGACCTCCCTTGCACCTCGACCTGTTCGGCCTGAACTTGATGTTTTGCCACACCAACAAGACCGTCCTGCAAGCCCGATCAAAGCAAAGTGCCCCAATCGAGAACCAAACATTCCACCTCGCCGCGGCCGGAACATGAACATACACCAGCCAAATAAACAACACAGCACTAATGAGATGTTGCAGTACAAAGAACTCATACCCCAACCTCCTCAGCGGCGCAAACCCCGAAATCAACGACCAACCCAACACGGCCCACGCCGCAAACCCGTACTTGACGATGCCCATCATCTTCATCTGAAAGTCCAAGATCCCGGCCCGCTGCCACTCCGCGATGAAATGCCATCCATGCACCGCGGCCGTAACGAACATGGTCCTGCCGACCCATCGATGCAGCCAATTCAGCCTCTCATGACCGTTCCCGACAATCAACCCAATGATGCTGCACTTGGACGCCAGCAGGTAAAGCAAAGGCATCTGCATGACGGTGATCCAGGCGTTGCGGAAGCCGATGCGCTCCCAGAAGAAGGCGTCGTTCTTGATGGCGTTGGCGGTCATCATGCTGATGATGATGGCCCAGTAGACGAGGAGGGTGATTACCCGCCCGAGGGGAGGGGGTGTCATCCAGGAGAACCATGACGAGGGGACATAGAGTTGGGGGTAGCTGGATTCGCGGACGAGGGCGGTTAGGGTTGCCCAGATTTCGAGGAACTGGTTTGAAGGTTTTGTTGGGTATTGGACCGAGTTGGCGAAGCGTTTTTGTAGTCTGGCGAGGGTTTAGAATACTGTTTGAAGTGAGTAAGGGGAGTGAGTGAACAAACCTCGTTCGGCTCTTGTAAAGATTGACTAGCCGGCATAGTGCTATGAATCCCAGTACGGCGGCGATGATGTACCAGAAATCATGGGCTAGCCCCATGTTTGTTGTCTGGAATTCATCCGGACCTCCCATCGACATGCCCTCCATGTTGCTGATTTAGACTGCCACCAGGCAGCGGTTCTGCTGAATGTTCTACCTCTAGCTTTTTTTCGTATTCCGTGATCTCTCGGTCTCTCGCACAATTCGCAATTCGGTTGATGTTGTCTTACGAGTCCTCTGGCAACGCGCCTGGTGGTTTATGTCATGGTTCGTCTTCGCGCTACAAATAATGATGGGGTTCCAGGGCAGTTCAACCGTTTGAACAGGATCGCCTACCAAAACAACAAAGTATGTGATGGATACAGTAACGAGCAGGTGGAGAGTTAAAGATGATGAGAAAACCGACCAGCAGTATCGAATGCCAAAATTGAATCCAAAAGAGGGAATGTTGGACGGTTCTTGGGTATTTGTCAAAATAGTGGAGGGTGGGGGCCGGGTCGCAGGTCCCTGGATGAGCAAGTTTCTTTGGTAAGAATGATCGTGCGCGGCTGGGTGCGCCGCACCGCAATACGGTACTAAGAATTCGGAAGGCACTTCAACCTTGTGATTCTCGATGTCTTATGGATCATCCATTTGCTTCTTGTTTCTAAAGCCGAGAGGTCAATGATGGTGATTGTCCTCGACGTCGATCGCAAAACAACTGAACGAAAGATGAAGAGAAGACCGGATGATGAATTTGCTCGTTCGCGCTTGTCCGAACCGCTACCGAACCGCTAGAGGTACCCGCTTTTCGCCACGGGACAGAGCAGCCTAGACCCTCGTCAAAGTCGGTGAAAGAAGCTGACAATGGGATTCCAGAATGATATAGCCCTTTGTGTCCGTCAGCAAGATCGCGTCCTCGTGTCGGAATGTTTCTCGAACTTGGAATGTCTCATGTGGTGAGATGGATCCAAAGAGAGACTCGTCGTCGGTCTGGCATCCGAAGCGGCGCAACCCACTTGATGTCGAAATCGCTAAATGCGATTGGGAAGAGGGATTGTCGAAAAAGATGGGAAAGAGCAAGTTGTTACTGGCTAGAAATGGTTCGAGGGGGGTGGACCCTGTCGGCAGCTCGGGCACTAGTGGGGCCACAACTTGCTCAAATCCGCTCGCGAATCTCACGCTTTACGACTGGGGATTAGCTGCATGCCAATTATACAACCCTAAAGGGTTAAGCGTGTCGGCATTTACAGCACTGCAATCAACCCCACTTTGGAGCTTGTTCAACTTTCAGGTCAACAACATCCAAACTTTGTGGACGACGGACAACAAGAAAACTGTTCAGTTCTTGACGACGCAAACTGACGGGAGGGTCTTGCTCAACATCGCGACAGGAAACACAGACAGGTCTCCAAAAGAAGGGAGAGCTCACTGGGATGGAAAGAATGCGGCTCAGCTAACACAAGTGACATGGGATTCCGTTCTTGCTTCGTTGCTGCAACTCGATGGCCGGAAACATCGTGTTGTGTTTGCGCAAGTTTGTGGAGCAAGACATCCAACCGATCAACAGGCACCATGCGGTGAGTTTTCAGTCTCAGATACTCAGATCCCCAACTCGTCAACTTCAAACTTTCGTATGGTTTCGAACGAGATTCTAGTGACACAGGTCATGTTTGCGTTGCGATAATGCACTTCTCCGAACCTGATATTCATCTCGTGGTCTGGACTTGAACCAAAGGAAGCGTGGAGGTCAAACACCGAACCCAAAACGTGGCTCCCGAAAGACTGGATTAGCGGTCGTACCTGACATGGCCGCATGGTTTTGTTTCCCATCCCGTTCTAGATCCACAACAATCTAGGTTGAAACAGGTAACAACCTAGAAGCAGGATCGCATCGTATTTGTCACTTCTTGCTCACTGCAGAGGCATTCCGTGGTGTTGGAGCCTTCCAGCCCTCCGGCTTTGCATATTCCACGTCCCGTCCCTTGTCTGCATCCGTCCCGTTGCGCCTTGTCTGTTGTCTGCAGCCTTTATCTACCTCGCACCCGCACACCTGCTTCCACTTCTTGCTTTTCTTTTTCCGATCATCTTCTTCAACCGAACTCTTCGACATATCATCAACCACAGCCAAGGACGCCACCACCCAACAACTACCGACCTCGACTAACTTCTTCTCCCACAACTCAACCACACACAACAACAAACCACACAACAAAACCACACAAAATGCGCTCCCTATCCCTCCTCCCCACCCTCCTCTCCCTCACCACCCTCACCAACGCCCACTTCTTAATGAACTACCCCCCCTCCCTCGAAGGCTCCAACATCGACGAGGACAAAGAACCCGACGCCCCCTGCGGCGCCAAGACTCCCAACCTTTCCTCGGACACCACCACGACCGACTTCCACGTCGACGGCGACTTCATCGCGCTCTACGCCGGCCACCCGCAGTTCAACTGGCTGTACCGTGCGTCGGTGCAAGAGGTCGGCGAGGGCAACTGGACACAGCTGTACCCGATCCTTCAGCAGAGCGGCCTTGGGGATCTGTGCTCGCCGCTGGTGAAGGCGCCCAAGGAGTGGGTGGGCAAGAAGGGTGTTGTGGGTGTGGCTGGTGTTGGTGGGGATGGCACTTTGTTCCAGGTAAGCTTTTATTAAAAAGCCTTTCGTTTTTGAAAAGTGAAAGTGAAAGTGAAAGGGGAAGGAAGAGAGAGACGCTAACGGGTAACGAATGAAAAACAGTGCGCCATTGTCAACTTCGTCGAGGGAACCAACGCCAAGGCGCCGAGCTCGTGCACCAACAGCACGGGAGTCACGGCGAGCTACACGAGTGATGCGTCGTTGAGCAAGTTGGTCGGAGAGCATGTTGAGGCACCGGCGGCTCCTACGGGTACCGAGGCACCGGCTCCTACGGGTACCAAGGGGAGTAAGAGTGCTGGTGTGGTTGTCCGTGGAGGAGGGTTGGCGGCGCTGGGTGCGGCGGTTGTTGCTGGTGTTATGATGCTCTGAGGTCACTGAGGAGGATGAGAGTCAGCCCAATACTGGAAGGGCCATGAACATAGTACTGGGTAAGGACGCTGTATGGTGATGATAATATGATCGTGTTAATGACCACTTTTACATTGTATTGGTGATGATCTGACCGAGCACCGGAGACAGCCCAGATCCGGGCTTCAGTGCCCGTCGTACCTTCCCCTGTCGCCGCCTCTTATGCCCATCGCTCTTTTCCCGCACCTTCCCCGTTCGCCTGCCGCACCTAGGTACCTTCCATCTCAACCTCCTACCTACCTAGGTACTCCAAGGTACCCCGCCTTATAAAGTCCCACTTCAGCCCCCCTCAATAACTCCAAGTTCCCTCGTGGTTAAGCGGTATGTGGCGGGGCCAGATAAACATTGCTCGTTGCGTGGTAACGGTGGTACAGTTTTCGTAGGCGTGTCTAGAGTGGACGGGTTCGACCCTGCTCTGGCCGCTGAGCTTTTTGTTGTTGTTTTTTGTCTTCTTTTTGCACTTATGAGTTGCTTCTGTTGATCAGTGTTCAAATATGCTTTTTTTTTGCGACTTGTTTGCTTGGTAAATATCTTTTCAATTGTCTCCGATCTTGCGATGATTTCGGTGTCGTTTCTACCTCTATGCAAGTGGTAAACATCACGGTCGTAACCCCGTCCCCTCTCTGGTTATAAGTTCCCTTAACAGACCGCTCTCCCGTGGTGTGAGCTCGTTGGTGTAATGGCAACATTCCCGGCGTGGGAAATTCCGCGTCTGCATACGTGCCGCAGGAAGACAACGGTTCGAGTCCGTTACGGGCCATACCCAATTTTTTTTTCTTGTCCTTTTTTTCGTTCCTGGTTGCTCCTGGTTGACAATCTCACGCATGAACGTCGAATGATCCCGTTTAAGATAACCACACTGACACACCTCGAGACATGGGCTTGGTTATCAGCTACCAGCCTACCATTTGTTATTCGTAGTACCTATTTGACTTTTGAATACGGGGAACTTCCTATACGAGGTATGTGACGGTGTCAAATATTTGAACATGTGGTGGTTGGAAGTTTCGCAGGATTTAGATGTGCCAAGATGCCACCTTAACAGAAATGCAGTGAGATTTCAGTTCGGAAAGAGCTGATAGGGTCCTTCCTAACTTCTTCGCTCGCATAGGTACACTAGAGAGAGATACTGGGTGCATGCATGAACTAATTCTCTACTAGAATAGCAACCTCTAATCGAATTTTGATCTCGTTCCTTATACTTAAGGTATCTCCTTCTGTTATGTCGGGAGCAACTATTTCCATCTTCAAGGACGGACATTATCTCTGGTAAATTACAAGTACCTCGATGTGGAAGTTGAAAACCTTCTCAATTCCCGATTATGTTTCCAGAACTATTACATCCGTCGCAGCAGACCCTCATCACAAATAACCATATCCATATCGTCGTGTCGAACAAAATTTAAAGAACAATCAACACCAGCTAACACCGGATTACTCCAAACATTACATGTACAAGACATGATAGTACAATGATAATGTACAGGACGATCACTTTAGATCATCAATCCCCTTAGGCCGGGACACCAGCGGGTGCCTGGCAGAGGACGCCCTGGCCGAGCTATTGTTCGCCAGAGGTCAGCACCATGTAATACCTTCAAAGCTCTGTCTCGAGCAAGATTCAGGGTAGGTACTCACAACAGGCAAGACGCAGCAGCGAGCACGCTGGCCGATAGCAGCGCAGGTGGACTGGAAGTTGGCGGCGCTGGTGACGGTTTCCGTGGCTGTGAGGACGGAAGTGTCAGGATTTGGTCTCCGAAGAGCGAGCTGGTGTTTATCAGAAAGGAATAACTCACGGTTGGCGCAGTCAAGGTCAGCGACACCGAGAACGTCAGTAGCGCAGCACTGGGCGTTGGAGTAGAGGCCGGAGCAGGGAATGTAGGGGACCTGACGCTCGATGACCGCAGGAGCGGCGAGAGCGACGGTGAGGAGGGAGAGGACGGTGGCGATGGTGAACTGCATTTTGATGGTTTGTGTGTTGTGGTTTTGGTTTGGAAGTGGTTGTTTGGTTGTTGAGTAGGCTTGAAGAGGCTTGTTGAGTGTTGATTGCTGAGCTGATGATGATGAGAAGAGCATGTGGAGATGAGCAGAAGTCCTCCTCCTTCTTATACACGGATCTGGAGGCTCATGACGGATGGAAAAGGGTGTTGACGTCGTCAACTTCCACTTCGGAGTTGGGTTACCTCCCGTTCCTGATCCAGCCGCACCACCACCATGACGACGACTCCATAAATGCCATACTACTCGCATAGCCGGTTGCCAGCGTGGTAGTCTATCCCAGCCTACCATGTGCCGGTGTCTCATGTCGTCCTGTTTCTTGACTTCGCTGATGGCACGTTGAGATTCCTAGTGACGAAGCTGGAGTCCGGCGACAAGTTGCGATCAGACCCTGAGATTACAACATTGAGTCAATGCCGTCTATGCCCTGCCTGGCTGAGAGTTGTCTTGCAATGTCTCGTCGATATCGGTGAACCACATAGAGACTATAATGCTACGTCATTAGCAATAAGTGCCCAGCAATGGTCTTGAGCCGCTCAGACTCGGGAACCACAAACTGTTTCGCTTCTTTCCAAGGCAATCTTGAAGGCCGCCGACGATCTCTAAACTCCGGAGCTTTGTAGAGGTTGAACCTTTGGCATGAAGCCCCAATTAGACATGTTGCCCCTTGCATGGAGGGAAATTATATTAAACCGACGTCTTGTGTCTGCAAGTTTTCTTGCTTTCACCCCGGGGGACCGGGAGCTGGGATGGCGGTTATTGGTTCTCGGTAGCTGGGGGAACACGAATGGAGGCTCAAGGGTTTTGCAGGCACGTCAACGGTGTTGCATTGGAGGCGTCGTTCCAGCTATCCAGGGGAGGATTTCTTAGCTAACTGACCCTACACCACCGTGTTTCTGGAAGGGCATGACATCGATTCTATAGCATGAGGGTGTTATAGGAGAGTCGCGGAACGAACCTTTTAGACGTCATACACATGGCCGTGTCGACGGCTTTTGTTAGCCCAGACGGATTCCAGGTGCCGCGATGTTGCTATTGGAGAATAATTCATCGTATTTTCCTGATTCTCATCAATTCACGATTCATTTCCTACTTTGCTGTGTATTATCAGCAAGGGATATTGACCGTGCGCTGACTGGCACCACGCCGGTGTGCACGCCAAGGATCACGGTCAGTAAGATCCGCCGTGAACCTTCCACGTCTGGACTGGACTGGACAGTTGTTGATTTGCATAACGGGCCGGAAATTAGGAACGAGTGCATCGCGAAGCAGGCTATCCGGTCGACATCTGGCGGATGTAGCGGCATCCGAGCAGTCCATGATCTTGGGTTTATCCGGCACATGATCTTGGAATGTGTCCGACTTGAAATAGGTTCGACGGCAACTTGAAAAAGCAGACGAGAAGTTGGACCCGATAAACAAGGCGTTCATCCTCATCGCATCAGTGTTCCTAACATCAAGGCATTGCTGGAAATGATGGGTAGCAAATAAAGGCGCATCGGTGGCAAGCATCAGCCGCGCAGTGCTCGGATTGAAATCCGACGATTGGCTTCGTGGAAGATTCATGTGGACGTTGAGGTGCCACCAGAGTTTGGTGTTGCAAGAAGAGGAAAACGACAAGAGCGCGAGATGAACGATGAGCAAAGTTTAAGTCACAGAGTGCCAAGCTAATGCAGGAACACATGAGATAGGAGTGGGTCCGAGCGCAATGAGTGATACTGCACTATCAGTTACGAGTGATATCTTCGCCGAGCAGTTGTTAGTACCACAACCAGAATTTGACCTCACAGCACCTCGGAGAAACAAGACGCAAGATTGACCGTGAAATCCAGAGTGAGTTGAAAACGAAAGAGGAAATTGCGCCCGACGATTGTCTTGGAAATGAATGAAACGTACGATCCATGCACCTGCTTCCAAATGCGCATGATTCCAGGCCCAAATGGACGTTCATCCGTTGAGTGCTTGTGTTGCTTGAGAAAGACGGACAGGTGTTGATTTTAGTGCCCAAGCGCCCGATAGCAACCTCATGTGCTAACACAAATGATGGGAGCAACAAACCACCAGGTCATGGTCACTCCAACAGGACATCACCTTCTTTCCCCTCTTTCGACCTGACAACCGTCCTCATCCACTTTCAAACCATTCTCGTGACCATCTCTGGTTTCTTTCTTACTTTGTGAGCGCAAGAGGATATGTAATTGCGAGTAGATTGTAGAGCTTCAGAGTCGAGATCTCATCGAACTGTTAAAGTCACCACTGAAGCAGCAATCAATGACAGCGGGCGGCAGCTTCAAGCCGGCATAAGCTCGAGGAGTTACGGCGGGGTTATGTGATATTACTGGTAATAATCGATATGGGGTTCAACGTGGCTTGATTGTGTGTATGTGTGTAAGACTGGCTCTGCAGACTCGAAGCTCTAGCATCTAGATAAATCCCGTATATCCTAGCCCAATTAGGCACGTGCACGCCCAGTAGATTCCTTAGCCTTTAATACACCCCCTTAAATCTATTATACAAACTACGCCAAATCTACCTAAATATGCTCTGAAATGCCCTAAAATCCTCCTAAAACTGGCTAGAAATAATATTATTCCTAAATTACTTCTTTGTTATAGTAGCTTTTAAACTTTTATTTGTAAAAGTCTTACTTTATTATACTTACCGTTATACTTACCGATTCGTTATCCAAATCCTCCTTTATAGAATCCTCTATACCTTTTAAACAGTTTATAATAATATTTCCGCTATTAAACTTTCGCAATTGAATTTATAGCCGCTATAATTCTACGAATCCCAACTATTCTATAAAATTTAAATATATTATAGGAAAGAAACTCTTTATAAAGCTATCCGCAATCTGCTCTTTAGTAAGTACGTAGACTACATCTACTAATTTCCTCTCTTACGTTTATTTTAATTAATATTTGTATATATTAATATATTTGAATTTAATTACGAACCGAATTCCTTCTTTTACAATAAATTATATTATATCTTTATTATTATAATATATAGGCGTAGCCTCTTAATTTTCGAATCCTAGGGTAAATTTATTAAAAAGACGGCGGGTGTAAATTACTTCCTTAATTCCTTAATTAAAGAATAGTAATTTAACCTCTATAAATGAAGTTATAATTATATTTTATTTATTAGTATACTAGTCGATAGTAACCTTCAATAATTTAAATACAAATACTTATAAATTGTTTCAATTAAGAAAGCTTTTTATAAATAAGGAATTAATTATAATATAGAAATTTTAATAATTTTTACTATTTAATTAAAGAGTATAGTTTTGAATTATTAGAAGGTAGAGGAGTATTTTATTTATAGCCGTATAATACGTTGGATTGGGGTTTGAATTAAATTGAGCGAGTTTAGAGATTAGGAAGGTTACGTCTAATCGTAACGTAATAGTAATATAGAGAATCGAACTAATTTTAATTTAATATATATAAATTTCGTCGGGGTTACGCTATTTTAATAAAGTAGGAATTCTTTCTTAATTATAGGCGTAGAATATAATTTTTTAAATATAATCGCGCTATAATAATTAAATTAATTTCTTCTTTCAGTCTTAAATAATCTCGATGCCTAAACACTACTTTAATAGTTCTTTACTTATTAATTAATATTTCTTTTCTATAATAGCTATTACCCCTTTAATTATAATAATCTCTTTATTCCTATACTTAGAAATAATAATAATATTATCGATATAAAAAAAGAGGAATACATTATCTTTAATTAGGATGCTAAGCTTTATAGGGAGAGGGTTTATACTTATAATTACAAAGGTCTTAGTAAATTATTACTATTAGAAGAGGAGAGATCTTTATTAACTATATAGCGAGTATAGTAATTAAAATACTTAGCCTTTCCTAATATATTTAAAGGGAGCCTTCATAAATACTACTTTATCAAGTATGGTATTAATAAAAGGGTTCTTTACGTTATATTAAATTAAATCGAAATTGAAGTAAATAATTATAATTATTAGAATATAGAACCATTCAATAATCAGACTCGTTACGTATATTTTACGTATACTATCTTTAAATTATTAATACCTACGTATAATTAAACGTACTTTATATTTAAAAAACCGGCCGTTTTAATCGAATTTGTAAATATGTACTTATATCGAATTAAATATTTCGTTATCTCCTACTTCCTTAATACTAATTTACTTCTAAAATTTCTTATCCTTATATTTATTTAGGTATTCTTTCTCTATAATTTTAAAGAGTTCTCTAAAGGGATAAAAATTAAAATTACTATAGTATTTTAAAAGAAGTAGGAAATTAATTCGATAGAGGGTCTTTAATATACTTTTTATTCTATAGCGGTTGATAATTTCCTTCATTATTTTTAATTTAGGATTATAGCTAGGATTAATATCGATACCCCTCTCTCTTATTTCCTTTAAAAAAGTTTAATCTACAATTTTATTTCCTTAAAATCCTACCGGTCGATTGCCCTTTATAAATAAAAACGACGCGGCCTAATAAAGGTATTAATTTATAGTTAATTATAAATCTTCGTTAGAATGAGAAAAGTCAGTTATTAGAAACGTAATTAGGCTTTTAGGAGGTATAGGGAAATAGTTCTCTTCTTTATCCTTTAAATTTAAATCTATATTTTAAAAATCCGACGACAATTATATAGACGGCAATAGTAAAGGTTTTAAAGATCCTTATAATATCTCTAAACCTATTTATAATTATATTTCTAATACTTATAAGACTTTTAAAAATTTAAATTACGTTTATATTTCTAAAGACTCTAATTCTTCCTCTTCCCTTAATATATTTTCAATCTCGATAAGAAAATCATAGATAATAAGGTTAAGAATTCTATTATTTAAAATAAATATAGCCTCGACCTATAAGATGTTTATTTATGCGATATCTATTTAATAAAGATCTTTTAATTATATAGCCAACTCTTTAAGAGAAATATTAAGGGTATTATAAATTTCTTTAACGTTACTACTAGGAAAGACTTCGTTTTTATTAAATATAACGTTTTGTATAATAATAATAGAATTAATATAAGGATTCTAAATCCTATAAATATTCGTTGACTAATATTTAATTAAATAGCCGATTTAAATATAGTCCTTAAACTTTATCAATTTATTCTATTCTTTTATAATTTTTATTATAAAAGTAAAAGCTTTATAATTATATACTTTAAAGTATATAATAGTAAGGGAAGAGTCTAATAGAGGAGTAATACTGTTTTTAAATTAATAATACGTTTCGAATCGGTCTTAGGGAAATTTCTAATAATATTCTACTTTATAAATTAAATTATATAAATACAACTACTCTAATAATTTCTATCTATAGGTCGTAAAGAAGATTTACACTTAATCGTATTACCGTACCCTTAATCTTAATTATACCTCCTAAACGCTCTACGCCGCTATTTTAAATTTATATATAAAGCGCTGAAAGTTCGATATTAATTCCCTTTATAATAAATTATATAGTGGTTTTTTTACTACTAATTATCTCGTTATCGTATTTGACTACTTAAAGTATGATTTAATATTGAATTTATAATCCTATATAAAGGGATTCTAAATACGTAATAATTAATTCGGCTTTTTTATTATTTAAGTAATATATTTAGACGAATTTAAATTACCGATTTACGATTATTGTTAAATTTAAATATTTCTAACCCCTTACGTTTATTTCCGTACAAAAAAAGAAATCGATAAATAATTATGATTTAAAGCCCTCTAAGTAATTACAAACTTCTCTACGTACTTAATACTTTAATTTAATTTTAGTATATAATTTGTAATATATTATATCCGGTCCTTTAAATCGTACGCTATACGTTTACTCCGTTAATTTAATTAAAATTTCGGGTCCTGGGTAGCTAAATCGAAAATACTAGCGAAGGGGTTTACCCTCTTAAAGTTTCTATTTAATATAATTTTTATACCGTATAGTAAAAGAAGATTTATTAATACTATTCTATAGAGGGATATATTTTAAGATAAATTATTTATATTGAAAAAGGACATAATAAATAAAGGAGTCCGCAAGGCCTGAATATAAATAATTATTTTTATAGTCTTAATAAATTTATTCATCCTCAAATTATTTTAAAGAGACGAAATTATAAACTATACCCGGTATTAGAGCGACGTTAGGGAGCTAAAGCTCTCTATTTCCGTCGTCGTCCTAAATTATAATTATAATAATATTATACCCCTCTATAAACATCTATTTATTTCCCGCCTACATATAATTACTAATATTTAAAGAGGTAAAGTTTTCGAAATAATTAACCTTATTAAAGATATATATTACTATACTTAAATCGAAGATTATAAAATCTCTTAGTAAGTATATAGCGCTATATTTCGCTACAAATACTAAGAAACTATTCTTACCTACCCGGCGACTATAGAATTAATTATTTTAGTCCTTATTATCCTACTACGTTAGCAAACGGTTAATAGCTTTTTTAAATATTTTATCTTTTTTTAAATTAGTATACGCGCGCTTCTTAATAATAAGACTTTCGATCCAACCTTTATGAAC